ACCTGCTACTTTGGGCGTCCCTGAGTTGTCTCTCCTCACTTGTAACCCTGGGGCTGACCAAAAAGAATAACGTAGCATCCACAAAACACCGCATAACGTGGTTGAGCTCAGAGGACGTGATGCCGAGCGAGTGAAATGAGTGGATCACGGAAGAACAAATACCGTATCCAGTCATGATTAGAAAAAGTAGTCAAGGAGAGCTTTCTATGCAGAAGTAAGCTTTCTTTGTTGGTTAACCAGGAGTGGGAGCCTGCCCAAATGAGAAGGGTATTATTAAGTTAAATCCTGTATAAATATCAGTTATTGTTATAACCATGTTGCAATCTGTAAGATCTATCCTTTCCTTGGCTTCCTAATTATTTTGCCTTTAATTTTGAACAAACATGGACCTGTGTAGCTGCAGGCTAGGGCTCCTGTGATAGCCAAGGGTCAAGGTCAAGGTCCATGCCCTAGAGCCCCCACTCCTCCTGCAGACCTTTTCTCTAGAGCCTCTTGGTCTTGCCCACATCACATCTGCTCTTCCCTTAGTCCCATATGGGTCTTTGTGGCACTCCCAGTGGATTGAGTCCCTGTGGTGCTTAGTTAAAGTCACCTTTAGGATAATTTCCAGAATCCAACTCTATCTCAATACCTGCCCCCTTGCCATCCTGGTCCAGGCCACCATCATCTCTCACCCAGATTTGCAGAAGCCTCATATCTGATCTCCCTGCTTCCTTCTTGCCCCTTTCAGTCTATTTGCAGCACAGCACTGGGAGCAGCCTCTGAAAAGGGCAATCACAGCAATGCTACCGCTCTGCTCAAGCCCTTCCTATGGTTCCATCTCAGAGTCAAAGTCACACACTCCTGCATTCTCAAACTTGGCTGCACTTTGGAATAAGTGCCTAAGGCATTTGACTGCTAACCAGAAGGCTGGCGGTTCAAACCCACCAGCCACTCCCCGGAAGGAAGTTGGGCAATCTACTTCCTACTTCCGTAGTGATACAGCCTCGGAAACCCAAGGAGAGGTCACTATGAGTCAGATCCGACTCCATGGCAGTGGTTGCGTTTTGCATTTTTGTAGAGCAATACTGATCCTGAGTGTCCCTCCTATAAATCTCTGATGTAATTGGTCTGGGGTGTGGCCCAACATCAGGAGTTTTAAAAGGTCTCAGATGAGCCAAATGTGCAGTCAAGGTTGAAAGCCAATGCCCTACTTAATCAGCTTCTTATTGCCCCTCTGATCTCATCTCTGACTATTGTGTCCTTTTTCACTTTGCCCCAGCCACACAAGCCTCCTTCCTATTCTCCACTCCAAACATGCCAAGTGAGCTTCCACCTCAGTGCCTTCGCACTTGCTGATCCCTCTGCCTAGAAAGTTCTTCCAAGATGTCCATATGGTTTACTTCCTCATCCTCTCCAGGCTTTGCTCAAATATCACCTACTTAGTGAGGGCTTGTCTGACCACCCAATTAATATTTGCAATCCCCCATCCCAGGTGGCCTCTATCTCCCACTTTATATTTCTCTATAGTACTTACCACCATCTAATATACTACATGTTGTTGTTGTTGTTGTTGTTATGTGCTGTCGAGTCGTACCTGACTCCTAGCGACCCCTTCTTGGGTTTCCGAGGCAGTATCACTACAGAAGTAGTTTGCCCAACCTTCCTTCCAAGGAGTGGCTGGTGGATTTGAAGCACCAGCCTTCTGGTTAGCAGTCAAGTGCTTTAGGCACTATGCTACCAGAGCTCCTAACATACCACATATTATCTTCTTTATTTATATTATCCATCTCCCCCAACTGGAATGCAGGCTCCCTGAGGGCAGGGATTTTTCTCTGTTTTGTTCACTGGTCTGTCTCCATGTCTACACAATGCTAGCTCAATAAATACCCATTAAATGAATATATAGGAGCTCTGGTGCTGTAGAGCCTAAAGCACTTGACTGCTAACCAGAAGGCTGGTGGTTCAAACCCACTAGCCACTCCTCAGAAGGAAGATTGGGAAATCTACTTCCGTAGTGATACTGCCTCAGAAACCTAAGGAGGGGTCACTATGAGTCGGATCCAACTCAACAGCAGTGAGTTTTTGGTAAACGAATATATATTCTTCTATCCCCTTGTAGCATAGTGGCTAAAGGCACTTGACTGCTAACCTGAAGGCTGGCGGTTCAAACCCACCAGCCACTCCTCGGAAGGAAGATGAGGCAATCTATTTCCGTAGTGATATTGCCTCGGAAACCCAAGGAGGGGTCGCTATGAGTCGAGTCCGACTCGACGGCATACAACAACAACAACAACAACATCCCCTTGTAGATCCTCAACAGCTCTTTCATTCCTAGGGACCAGCCAGGCTCTCTGTGGGACAAGAACAACCATACCCAGTTATATAGCGTATTGCAGTTACTCAATAAGTGTCTTTGGAACTGAACTGAACTCTCCTCCTGGAAGGAACATACATAGCTTTTCAAACCCAGCAGCCAAATGTTTCCTAAAAATGCAGACACAAGCTTACATTGTGGTTTGTAGCTTTAAGAAAATTTTTAAAATAAGGAGAAAGAGGGGAAAAGAAAGTGTAAGGGGGGAGCTCACAAAAGTTAATGAGATTTTCTCAGCTATGGTACGTGTTCATACTTTTAATAATTAATACAAATTCTAACTGAACCTTAAAAGAACATCCTTCTGCAACAAAGAGAAAAGTCAAGACAGACTTCTCTGCCAGGGGTAATGACTTGTTCATCCTGGAAGACAGATGTACTGTAAAAAACTAATTTATAACAAAAAAATATATAATTGTTCATAAAAATGCACCTAATTGGGTTAAGATGACATATTAACAGGAATGCCGATGAGTCCATGGTACTTAAGGAGTAAATTAGCTTAATAATCCTCAAAATCTCTAGTGGAAGCAAATGGAGAAGGAAACAGCTTTCTCCTGACTCAGCAGATGGAGAAACTGAGGCTAAGGGAGAAGAGTGACTTGTCCCAGGCACGCTGCAGAAAACGACCCTAGCAGGAAAGGAACCCAGAAGTCCAGACACCCAACCCTGACCCTGTTCCCAGCACTGTGGTGACCCCATCACCCCAAAGGTAGCTCAGCAAAGGTCCCATTCACTGACTCTGCTCACCCACTGGGTCTTAGGTCAGGCAGAGGACGGTCGAGGGGCAGGCGGTCACTGAGGTAGGCGTTGTAGCCGTAGTACTGGAACTGCTTCAGAGCCACGCGGCGGCCTTCAGGGCTGAGCTCTTGACCCCAGTGTGCAAATAAAGAGGAATCTGTGAAGGGCTCAGTCTCTACCTCCTCAGGCTTAGCAGGAGCCTCTGGGGAAAAAAGGGAGAAGGAGACAGAGGGTCAGAGTGCATCCCTGCATAAGCCATGAGAACCCTTCCTCACAACCTGCCTTCAGCAAAAGTCTTAGCCCCATATCTGCTGGTAGGAGCTGGAATTTTCATGCTTTCCAGTGATTGATCAGTCCATCCATCCATCCATCCATCCATCCAACAACCAATAGGCACATGGGATATAAAAATGCACCTGACAGAGCCTGCTAAGAAGCTGACAGATATGATCCTGAGTGTCCTGTGGGTTCAAGTCAGAACTCCCTCCATTCCCAGCCTGCCACTATGTCCCCTGCTCTCTAACTGGACATCTGCTTCTCTCTCTCCAGCTTGTACCCTCATTCCTCACTAGGCCTAAGCCTGCTCACCATTCAAGCCTCCCTGGCTGGGGATCTACTCCTCTGCCCAGCTCTTGCCAGCCCATCTCCCCCTCCACTGTGTGGTCCTGCTATGAGTTGCTGGCACCATGCAGTGACATTCACCCGGCTATGAGCACCCTCAGTTCCCAGACTGCCTCCTGCAGCTTTCAGGCTCTGCCTACCAGAATGGGAATCAGGGATACAGGTGACAGTCACAGCATCCCAGCCTGGAACATACTCTGAACACTGATTTTTGGACCCTTGGTAGACTTTTTGAGGGCAGGTCTTTCCCAGCTCAAGGAGAACAAATGTTTGCCCTGGGTTTTTTGTTTGTTTGTTTGTTTTACTAGAAAATGGAGGAGGCATTATGATCTAAACAGCAAGGATTTGGGATTCACACAGACACAGATTCAAATCGCTGCTCCACCATTCACTGGCTATGTGACCATAAGCAAACACTCATCCTCTCTGCACCTCAATTTCCCCACCTGTAATGTGGGGGTACTAATGTACCCATTTCTGACATTTTGGAAGGATTATATAAGATAATAGGAGCTCTGGTAGCATAGTGCCTAAGGCACTTGATGGCTCACCAGAAGGCTGGCGGATCAAACCCACCAGCCACTCCTCGGAAGGAAGGTTGGGCAATCCTACTTCCGTAGTGATACTGCCTTGGAAACCCAAGGAGGGGTCACTGTGAGTCGGGGCTGACAACAACAACAAATATAAGATAATGTACACAAAGCACTTAGAAAAGCACATGCCTCAGAAAAGTACACAACACATGACAATTAGGGCTGTTATCCCAAGGGAAGCCTGGTAGGTCATTTAAATTCCTTTTTTTAGGGGTAACGGATAGATCTTGCCAAGACATAGGCTGATGAGCCAGGACTTTGGAGTTGGTTCCAAGGGATGAGTATGCAAGTTAACCATTCAAAGGCAGAAATCCAAGAAATCAGATAGAGATGCCAAGCCCACTGGACAGCACCCTCCATGTGATATAAATAAGAGATGAAGCCAGGAGCCTGGAAAGAGACTGAGACCAGAAGGAAGCAGAAGCACGTTAGGAACAAAAGAGGTAGGTTTGGGACACCTGCTAAAGTCCTCTCAGCTGCCTGTTCAGAGCCAATAGGGGCACGGCACACCTGTGCCCAGCTAGCTTAGAGGCACAGGTTAGAGATGGGCTAGTGTGCTGATGTCTTCGAAGTTGAGCAGCTCAGAGCTACAGACCTCAGTTCTCACTACTAACTCCTCTTGAGGAATCATTGGCAGATAGGAGGAAGCCTGAGACCCAAAGCAGAAATCTTCCAACACTCAAACCCTAGGAATGTGGAAGAGCTACTCCAGTGAGCGGTAGTAAGCCCCCATCATTGGAAGTGACCAAAGGGTAGACAGGGACCATCATAGCTCCATATAAATGAACAAGCCCATGATTTTGAACACAGAAAGAGCACACTGATGACAAAAATCTTAGAGAGAGATGCAAAAATGTGTGTGATTGGAAGTGGAGCTCCCCACATGCTGGTCAAACTCACTGGTGAACATGCATAAGGCATCTGGCTCTCTGGGCCATGTCCTTGGGACGTTCCCCAAGTTGGAGATACATATAACTCCTGGGATAACTTTAATAGGTAATACTTACTGAGGGCTTGAGTCAGACTCTGTTTTAAGCATTTTCACATATCAACTAATCTCACCCTATGAGGCAGGAACTAGCATCATCACCATTTGTTAGGTAAGGAAAGTGAGGCACTGAGAGGATACGAAACTTGCCCAGATTCCCACAGAAGGAAATGAAGTAGGTTGATACTCAATCTCAGGAAGTCTGTCTCTCAAGGCAGTGGCTCTAACCACTATACTGCCTCTATATGACAATGGGCCGGGATACACGTTGCTTCCCAAGAAAAACATGGCATATTGTTTTGGTTAACAATTTTTCTTAAAGATAAGGAAAGAAACTCAGATATATATTGAGCAGATAGGAATATATATTGCAGAGTAAAATGCAAACTATGCATGTACTTCTAAGACAAGGCAAGAGATTTCAGGATTGTGGTGGCCTGCTCAAAGTTGTATCCCAGAATATGGAGGAGCCTTGCCCACTCTTCTCCTTCAATGGGCGTATGTGGAAGGAAGCATGGGCTTGTGTGATCTTGAAGGTCCTTGTTATCTCTAAAAAGATGTGTGGCTCACAGTGAGGCCTGCCTGTTGCCATGAAGCACTGGGACTGCTTATAATGAGGGGCAGGTTTTCAGAGATGTCCTGAAGCCTTTTATCCGATCCCTCTGTGATGTCCCTGGGAACAGTCTGGGCCATGGTTTGAGGCCTTCATTAGTTCTGCACTGTCTGAGATGGTAACAAAGGCAAGAAAGCAGACTGGCTCCTTTTTGTTTATATCAACCCAGACTGCGTTTCCTGGTTCCAAGACCCAGAAAATAATACCCTCTGAGGTGACTTATTCACAGTGATATGGCTGCAGAGCACTGTGCTCTGCTGGCCTTGCCTTATGAGGCAGTAGCTACGTCCAGCATTCTCTCCTTACCAATCCCTGGGGACAGCTGTGTGGTCATCTGTCTATATGAGCACCTGTCTACCCAGCAGCCAGCCCTCCCAGTGTGGTATGAGGATATGCTAGCAATGGACCTATTTAACTGTCCTTTTATACTATAGTGTAAGGTAGGGAGTGTGTGGACTCATCTCTGTCCTTCCTGTAATTGTTCTCAACCTTTGACCCATCACCTATATATGTTGTATCTGCTATACCCCTACCAGTAATGGTTGCTCACTAAGCTAGTGTCCTTAAAGTTATAGGGCCACACAGGGATTCCCAAAGATCCTGTATGGTTTGAAAAAAGCCCCAGTCCTATAGATGACTCAGGGAAGTAGGGGCTCAGTGAAGAGCCTGTGAGCTCCCCATCTGTAGGCAACCTTCCCGCGGCAGGAAACTTTTATTAATCTATATCTGGGCAATCTACTTCCACACAGATACTGCCTCGGAAACCCAGGGAGGGTTCGCTATGAGTCAGATTCGATTTGACGATAGTAAGCTTTAGAGAGAGAGATCTCAAAGCTGGAGACCACTGCATCAGAACCACCTAAGAAACCTGTAGTATAGACAAAGGACTTGGAATCTTAAAACAAGACTTGGTCATTTATCAGAGCTGCAGGGCGGGAAGGAAGAAGGAGAGTACTCTTCAGCCCGTGTGGGACTCTGAGAGGTCTTCTCCATACCTGAGTATATCCAAGACTCCTCCAAGATTTGCCTTGAGAATGAGGGGCCTTTTGATGCTCAGGTAGGGAATACAAGACATCATGATGCTCAACAGGGGTGAGAAAAACAGACTTTTCAGTCATGAGTTATTAAACTTTCAAAGGTTGTTTGAAAGAAGGTAATGATAACGCATTATTACATCTGAAGAAGTCACAGTATTTGTCCACTAAAAAAAAATTATGATATCTTAAAGGATTACGGAATTTGTTCAGGAAATAAAACATTAAGAATCCCTTTGTTATTTGAAGGAGCTCTGGTATCATAGTGGTTAAAGCATTCAGCTACTAACTAAAAGATCAGTGGTTTGAACCCACCAGGCACTCTGTGGGGGAAAGATGAGGCAGTCTGTTCTATAAAGATTTACAGCCTAGGAAACCCTATGGGGACAGTCGTACTTTGTTCTATAGGGTTGCTACGAGTTGGAACTGACTCTATGGCAGCAGGTGGATATGTTATTTGAGATCTGAAATGTTTAGAACTGACATGAGGTTCTGTTGTTCAGGGAGGGGCAAATTCCTTATGATTTGTTAATGATTACCCTGCCCCAGACCTTCTGCTCCAGCATTTTTGAGAATGAAATACCCTGGGGTGAATTTTTAACAAACTTGCCAGGTGTTTCTTGTGTGCGCCCTGAAGTTTGGAAACCACTGTTCCAACCCATTGGTCCTTGGTTGCACACTGGAATCACCTGTGGAGATAAAAATGAAACAAAAGATGCCTGGATGCTACCACTAGAGATTTTGATTCTGTTGGTCTGGGGTAGGGCCCGGGCATCTGTAGTTTGTATTGTTGTTATTGTTTTGTCATCTAGTCAACCTGAATGTGCAGCAGCCAGGTTTGAGAACTTGAGTTCAGAAGTGACCTCAGGGATAGTTCCTAGTGTAGATCTGTGCAAGTATATACAGGTGTCTCCTGGACAGCATCAAGCCTCAGGGCCACGTATTGCTGAGACCCTGCATTCACCCCAGGAAACAGTATTGTTTCCTTCAGAATGCCTCTGGTCAGCCAACAGATTGGCCTGATAGCCTCTACTGTGTTCAGAGGATCTTTCAGGGAGCTGGAGAAAGGACTCACGCACGTTGCCTCTCCTGCATCTGGTTCTAGGAAGGAAAGGTTCTTGGGAGCAGAAAGCAGGGACTGCAGGCAGGAACCAGATGGGCTTGGGAAGAGTTCTGAAGACTGCAGGCAACGCGTGACCTACACTGGGGCAGCAGCACCTGATGTGGTGGTTACTACAGAGCTGTGAGTCTCAACATTCAGGATCAGCTGCTTCTTGTGAGTGTGGAGGAGCAAGTAGACTCTCTTCCCCTCTTTGCCTTCCCTCCCCAGTGTGCACATGTGGCAGATGTGGC